TGGGTTGGGGGTGGGGGGCAGACCAAGGAGGGGCCTGTGGATTTGGGGGGGGATGAGCGGGCGGCGAGGCATGAAAAAACATAATCAATAACAATCTCTCGGGAAAGGGAGCATGGCAGGCAGCACGCTTGCCAATGGTGATGTGGCGCTTGTCATGTGTATGCCCACACGACGGAGTGGGCGCACGGGGGGGACTGAGAGCGCGGGGAGGTTCTGGATAGGGAGGGAGACCACACAAGCTAGTTCGCTGAACGAACGTGTTGATTGTTTCCTATAGATGTGATTTGCAAGGTGAGTGCTCTGACTCCTCGCTGCCCCAGCGTCTGGTAGGATGGACGGTGCCAAATTGGAATCGGTTAGCTTACGGTGATCGTACGGCTCTGGATTTTTTTTGTTCGCGTGCAGTGCAATTTTTTTTTGTTCACGTGCAGTGGGAGTTTTTCGTACTTTCCGTGAGACAAGCGTGTTCGGCAGGGGGATACTGAAGGTGTGTGGTGTGTGGGACGGCACGTGAACTTGGTTGTTTACGTCGAGATGGGATGAGTACCGTAGGCCCCGGTGGGGGTGGGAAGCGTTGGGAGGGCGCTGTCAATGTTTTCTGCCTTCCCCGGTGATGGAAACCCCAATCGGTCGTAAGCGTGTTGCGTGCTACTGCTGTTGCAGCGCGTATCAACCATGTAGCTGTAGAGTTATGGACACCAGGACGAGCGACGTGTTGTTTACTCCCCCTTACTGTGTCTTGACGTTCCAACAAACCTTTCGCGTATCTCAGGCAACCGTAGTAGTGTAGCTGCTGCTGCTATGTTGGAGCCTTCCAGGTTGTTTCGGGGAAAGACGTGCTTTCAGGCGGCCGAGAAAATGTTATCGTCAGGAAGGTGTGGAGGGGGGGGGGGTGAGCTTCGCGTTCATTTTCGTTTATAGAGCGTGCCAGTTGTGCCACAGGCTGGGTTGGCCGGCGTCCAATGTGCGTGCGTGCGTCAACGTGTGTTTTCATTTTTTCGTAAGTGTGGAGGTACTCTGCGTGTTTCGTGGATATCGACCACGATGGCTGCCTCGGTGGGGCAAGGCAGCGCAGCTAATAGATGCCGAGTTTGGTAGGTCGGCAAGTGTGGTGGCAGCAGTTGTGGCGTGTCCTTGTCCCCAGGTGTTGCCGGTGTGCGTCGCGTACAACCCCTCTGCCGCCTGGCAACGTGTGTACTTCATGTTTTGAGTGTTGGGTGCGTGTGTGCCGTTTTTTGGGGGGCCTATATTCCGGCGCTACAGCAGTGTGTGTGTTTTTGTGTATTGGATGGCGTTTTACGGAGGGTGCGGTGTGCTGTGGTCGGTCATATCCGTGGGTGACATGTTTGGCTGCCGCCAACTTGCGGAGCGAAGCGGAGAGCGCCACCACTTGTTAGTCGAGGAACGAACGTGCGAGGTAGCAGGGCTACTGGGACTGTTAATATTCCGCTGGGCTCTCGTCTCAGATATTTTGTTGGTGATTTTTTTAACGTACATAGTGTTCAAAGTGGGCGTCGTGTTGGTGGTGAGCTGCGTCGCTGCGCCTACATGATGAGAGCGCGTAAGAAAACGCTGCGTCTGTTGTTTTTGGAAGCAATGAGCCGGCGAGGGTCCTTGTGATTAAGACCTTTCGTGCATGCCTCTGTGTCTCAATGCGGAGTGCCGAAGTAATAGTAGTGTCAATTTTCTCATGATGGACGAGCAAGGGTGAAACCCAGCAAGCGATTGCACAGAAAATGCTGATCGCAGTCGGCCAGCCTACAGTTCGGCTGTGTGTCTCGCCTGGCTATGCCTGACTTTCCCCAGTTCATGCACGATGCCCTGCTCTCACAGGCCGCCGTGCTGCATGCATCACTGCTATGACACTAATAGAATTATCTGTAAAGAAGTATGTACACCCAGCACAATGCGGCCGCACCTAAACAATACAAGAGGTTGTAACTCCCAGTCGTCAGTATCCCTCCCAAATTCAGAACATCCACCAATGAATCTCGTCTATCAGAGACGTTCACGTTGTTGCTATTCGTGAACATGTTTCAAGACTTTGTGGCAGAAACGAACGCGCACAGAGTTTTGGGCGTTTTTGCACTTCGAACATCGCTGGGCGGATCAATTTTTCAACATGGCTATTTTTCTATGATCCAACAGCACGCGTTCTTACTAAAACATGTAAGCATTTCACTTCTCTCAACCATATTCCCACGACTAACAACGTACACTGTGACCTAAACGCAGTCTTCTTGTGAAGTAGATCCCTCTGCTACCGTAGTTTTCGAGTCCGGGCACTCTTCGCACATCCACATGGCGATCTGCTCGCCATAGTATCCAATCGGACACGGCGTGCACTCCGCGTCGCCCGCTTTTTACACGACACGCAGGGTGGGGGACGAGGCGTGGGTACACGGGGCAACGGAAAAACACAGTGCAGTCAGGCGATCAGCAGTTGGAGCGAGAAACGGGCCTCTCCAGTACACGACTTGTTTCATTCGCCCCCGAACGCGCACCGCCCCCGAACGCGCACCGACAGTGGCAAGAATAACCCAGCAAATAACCCCATCTTTTTTACGAAGAAGTTGATGATGTTGCCCCAGGAAGGGTAAAACTGCCTACTATCTATCGGTTACCTACACGGACGGGATTTTGGGGGGCGGGGCGGGGTATATATACCTGTGGAAAAGCTCCCCGAACTACACGGTTCGCACGGGTGCTGCCCTGCCTCAGACACGAACCCCGGCGGACACTCAAAGCACTCGTTGGCGCCGTAGTTAGACGTGAAACCTGCCAGCAGAGGGAGCAGACAAGCAGTTAGGCGTGGGTGGGCAGGTTGGTGAGGGGTGGGGCGGTGGAGGGGCGTTCAGCGGCAACAGGGAGGAGGAGGTCGGCCGGAGGAATACACAGTAATACTGCTGCAGGGGCAGCGCAAAATCTCTAGACTACATAGTACAATATTAGGATCATCTCCTTCCACGTGCTTTTACTTCACCGCGAAACAACCTCCGAGCTTATGTCTATCGGCGAGCTTTCTGAAAGGGGGCGCCGCCCCTCACTGCAAGGTAATCAAAACAATACCGGCCTAGACTACATTTCTCTTGTTGGAACCTTATTGCGCACGCTCGGTGGAGCGCCCTGTATGAGCATTGAATGATTTGTACATGAACACCGGTTTGTATTCCGTGGTTATCGCCATCGGTAATGGAGCATATCGTGAAGAACTGTCCGGACTCTGGCCCTCTCACTTCCCCTGAGCCGCAGGGTAGATTTATGAAAACATCAGAAACAACTTGTGAGTGTCAAGACCAAGTAAGGAGCAGCGGGCCCGCTCCCGTTCTAATATTTTTCTCTGCACTTTTTGCAACAGAAACATGTTGCGGAGGACTCCTCCTAGCTCCTGCCTCCCTCCGTCTTAAAAACGGGTAAGTGACCATGGAGAGCGCAAGAGCCCCCCCCCAATGGAGCCCCCCTCTCCCCCCTGGTCCGGCGAGAACTCGATCGCCGAAAAAAACGATCTGTCCCGCCTCAGGTTCGTAAGGACGCGAGGATGACGGTGTGGAAAGAAGCACTACGAACGACGGTATGTTCGTTCAGGACAGTAGCAGACTCCCCCAACCCGCCCAACAAGACTGACTCCAGGACCACTTCCTCTCGCGAATAGTGCAAAATTTCATCATCGACCTCCGAGCACTACAGCAAGCGCAGTAGTACTTCCTTACACCCACCGGCTGGACAATCTTCGCACTCCGCTGCGGCCGTGTCGTTCGTGAAGCTCCCTGGAAAACAAGGCATGCACATGTTGCTTGGCCCTCCACCTGGGGCGTGCGTCCCTGGCTCGCACCTGATGTTCAAGAAGAGCAAAAATGTTTACTGGCACATTTCATCAGCGAACGATTTTACACGCAGATAAAAGAATGACGTCCAAAGTTGTACGCAAGAAAGTGCTCTACTTCTGTTGCGGTATACACGCGAGGTGTACAGGACTCACTCCTGGAACACTCCCCCGCCGGGACACTCCATGCCCGCCGGGCACGAGATGCAGCTACCTCCGTACGTCCCCGCCACGCTTGACGTCGACCCCTCTTCCTCTTGGGCGTTGGTGGTGAGGGAGGTTCGGGTCGTCCCGTAGCCGCACGGCACGCCGAGGCCTGCACGTGGTAGTAGTTGTAGAAGAGCACGTCGAAAGAGGGTGTGCATTATGTACTACTGGCAGGGTGCATGTCATATTTTACTCGCATGGTGTGGACGGAGAACGCCTCCCAGTTGCACGTGAATTGAAGTTCCGGGAGATGATAGGGGAGAAAACAGCCCCCAGCATTGTCTATATATGTAGTACAACAGCCCTGTTTTGGTTCGTGTGCCCATAGCATAGCCGTTTTTGAGCCGGACCTTTGACGAGGATCCGCTCGCGTTTAGGGGCGAAAACATTGATAGAACTCCACGAAGGAAGTGCCAACGTCGGCTAGAAGACCGAAGGCCGGGATGTATACAATTCTTTTTCGACGCCAAATCACTCCATCCAGTTGGTGCAAGTGATTACGACTTGAAGCCGTCCACATTATCCAGAATGACCCGCGTGAACGGGGGGACTCGCTCACCTTGGGAGCAAAGCCAACCGACGGGGCACGGGAGGCACTCGATGTAGCCGCCCATGGAGTACTCACCGTCGAGGCAGGCCGTAAGAACTCCTCCCTGAGGAGGCCACGACATCGGAGTCCCGGGTGTTGCTTTATATCTCTCTCGCGGGTGGGGGAAAGTAGGGATTAGTACCGAGAGACATGGCTGGTTTCGCTGGCTTCGCTTGAGGTATTCTGCACACCAAAAACTTGCCCGCGTGCATCAAGAATAACCCTTGCACCACCGCCGTTTCCCACCCCACCACGATGTTACTGTAGAGTACGGGGGGTTCGGAGCGTGAAAGCGATCGCCTTTGAGGGCATTCCCTCTCCACCTATTTCTAAGACGTGGTCGTCACCTGGGGACACTTGTATCCGGCCGGACAATACGTGCACCATCCTTCGAAATAGGTGCACTCCGGCTTCGGGGTACAAGCCCGGGCCTGTTGAAACAGGCCATCCAAGGATGAGCAACAAATATGACGGCCAAGGGGCAAACAGTGTTAGGGGGGGCAGTAGAGATCAACAAGAAGCTGGTCAGACTACTAGGGCTTACCACGCGGGGGTGCGATGTAGTTCGCGGGTCGCGTGTCCGGGAGGTCTGCGCATTGCGCTGGTCATTATTCGGGTTGGTCGAACATGCGCCTCCGAGTGCATCCAGGGTAGACTTTTGCGCTACCCCGAGATACGAGTTCAGGCAGTATTCGACATTCAACCCTAAAAGAGGGGCCTGACGAATACGCAAAAAACTCCTTTCAAGAAAAAGAATAGCATCAGGTTGGTCCCACCAAAACGACCCGGCAGACAATACCCGTACCGGTGCTGAGGCGACGTCAAGGTAGTACCCCGCCTCACAGCGACAGGCAACATCCGGGTGAGCGAAGAGTGCCACCCCGGTGAAGGCAGCCTCGCCCGTACCCGAGAAGGAAATCTTTACCTGCATGCGCGTACGCATACGGGAGGCAGCGGGCGCATGCACCGCGGCATTAATTCAAAAACGGTCGGTTTCGCGCAGAGCCGAACGTGCCAAATGAGCCAGAGGCAGGTGCGGGTATCTAGCTACCTATGCCGTTATCGACAAAGGATTGAGCCAGGGCGGATTGGTTTGTGATGAGCAGAAGCCCGACCTCGTGTCTGTGTATGCGCGTGTGTGTTTTCGACCCATCTTTATTGCCCCCAGCCTGTACCTTTCGGTGTTCATTTGACGTATCACCCGGGGTCACACAGGAGGAAGGGAAAACAGGAACTTTTCTGTGGGCGGTGATTGGCTCACAATAAAACTTTACGAGAGTTCGGGGACGTCTCGGCTTAAGTACCTCTGGGTTGCGTGTCAATCAACACCCAACCCCTCCAAAAAGAACGGGGAGACGACTACCCGACCGTGGCAACTCGTTCTATTAAACGCATGGGGCTGTCGACTGCTCGCTCCCTTCCTTCCCCAAACCCTCCACCGACATCAAACCGTGAAGCCCTTAGTATTCGTTTCGCCTCCCCCTTACCCTCGCGCTGGTGATAACTTTCGTGGGATACACGGCTTCGATGTCCTGGGTCCAGGTGCCCGACGTTGCGGACGAGGCCACAAAGTCCAGAAACCCGAACGATTCCACCTCGACGCTTTGGCCACCAGAGGAATAGGTCACGTCCAGCGACACCGACGCGACAGTCGCAGTGGACAAGGCGGACAGGTAGAAGTAGGCCTTGACCACCATCGGGAGTTCCGAGTCGACGGCCACGGTTATGTCTTGATACGCTTCCTGGTCGCTGTTGGTTGTACGGTGTAACAGGTGTTTGTACGTCGCGAACGAGACATGCACATCGGTGGCGGTGGGTTTACGGTGGTTGTTGAGGGTTTTCTGTCAGCGGGTTCTTTTATAGACTGTGGCACAATCTATGTACCTATCGGAAGCAGGGGTTGGGGGGGGGGGGGTAGATCAAAGGGGTGCCTCCGCTGTAGAGGTCTTGGACGTGCTTCTGTTGATAACGGAGTTCCAGAGGAAGTGGGCAGGTAGTGGGGACCAGGGGTCAGAGCAAAACCGTTTCCCCGCCCCCCCAAAACCGTTTAAACAGGCATGGGTTTATCCCAGCGTCTCGTGAAACTTTACGCACAGCACTCAAAAAGGAAGCTTGCTGCCGGAAATCCTTTTCGTATTTTTTCCTCCTTCCACACAAACGCACCTACACCCCCCCGGGCAAGAGACAGCCAGGACGTCCGCCGACACCCCGAACGGCCCCAAGGTCTCGTTACCCAAGGAGAAGCCCGAATCGAACGTCCATTTTGATGGCTCGTCTGTGTGGAACCTGTTGATGAGGGGAGGGACAGAGAGAGAGAACAGATGGTGCGCGTGTGTGGACGGGGGGGTAGGGGGCGTGCTCGGGTGTGGGAAACAGTTAGGCAACCGATGCGGTTGTAGAGGCGTTTGTTCGAGCGGAACGCTCACGGATCAAAAACGAATGTTGCCCGCAACGGCAATAGCACCAAGCGCGCGTTAAGAGCTGCAAGAAGCCTTTCTATATTCATGAGTAAGTGACTGCAATAAGCTGAAACGAGGTACGAGGCAACACCTCCCGAAACAACCGCGTTTATATATGTTCCCTCACCTCTGCAGCCAGCCCGCCCTTGCGTTGTCTGCGGTGGCGGCAGCGGCTCCGGTAACCCTCGACCTCGAGGTGGCAGCGCAGGAAGAGTACTCCCTTAGTACCGTGATGACCGTCTTCTCCGAGAAAGAAACAAAGACAAAAAGCGATTGATCGTTGAAATGAAAGTTAAGCAGACCTGGCACCAACTTGACAAGCAATAGGGCGCTCTTTTGCTGCCGATTTTCCTCAGGAATGGATACCCAGCTGGTGGGCGAGTGCTTTTGTGTCTCACGTTTGGGAAGTGCTGCCAAGTGTGAATTGTGACTCTTGCTAACCTAAACGCATCCTGTTGGATGGCAGGGGGGGGGGGGTACTACATCATCGTTTCAAAGCGTGACAGCATTAATCGAAGCACGCATTTATCGGTTTTCAGTGTGTGCCCAGGCTACACCACGATAAACGGACGGGGATCCAATCAGAAGAGAACACAACGTGTCACCCCCCCCCCCAAAAAAATACATTCGCGTCAAGTCCGCGCCAATACGAACAGGCAACATAGAGGACTCTAAGCGTACATACAGTCATCGTGCCCGAAGCAAGAAACAAGGTGTCTCTGTCCGTTCCGAAAAACTACGATGTCCGTCAGCAAAATTAACATGCCCAAGGCGAAACACTGCGATAAAACCTACCGAACAAATGCCGATGCGTTGCACAAACCTTGTGCCCCTGAAAGGATAGGATGACTTCTCCGCTCCCGGTGTCTGACGCAACGGTTGCCGACATGTCGACCGCGAACGTGACCTCGGTCCCCGCGGCGACACTCCGGAAGGCGTCAGGCTCCGGGGTAGTCGAAGCGACAAACCCTCCATCGTCCGACTGGACTAGCAATGCGGCCTGGGAAAACAACGCCTGAAAGTGGAAATAGGCGGGTACAGGGATGGAGGAGAGGGTAGGAGCGGGGGTGAAGGGGTTACAGTGGCGTCGTTGAAGGTGGGGCTAGAAGAACGTGAGGACGCTTTAATTCCCTCCGTTCCTTGCGGTACTTGCGCGGTGGTCAAAGGACCTTCGGTTAATCTGTACATGATACGAGGATCAAGTCTAATCCAGCTACATAGCGAAGAGCAGCCCTGGCGTAAGACTATAGTGCCGAAAAGAAACGCGCTTGTGGTGGTACAAATCAGCATCCGCTGGACCCCTCATCATCACAGCTTCGCGCTGCATGTCCCGGCCGCCCCGGCGCATGGCTGGAACTATCTCGATGATCCTACAACGGTGTGGGTCAACAACCGACCTCGAGTCCGCCTGCCAACGCTCGCGGGAGGTAGTCCTCGTTGTAGTTGTTCGCGACTGCGTCCGTCTCGTCCACCGCTACCACCGCGCCGAAGCCTATCTCGTCCACGAGCGCTGTGTATGCGTCTTCCAGAGAGGAGTCGGTGAGAAGGAAGATCGGATGAACTCCTGCCGAAGAAAGGCGTGATTGCAGCTCCGACACGGTTACGCCGTTGGGTACCGTCCAAGTACCCGTGTCCTGGGAGCCGGGACCGTTGGGTTGCGTTGGTTTTACTTCCAGGACGGGCGGGTTGGACGAGAGAGACGTTCTTGGCATATGGTATTGACACAAAGGGGGGCACGCAAAAAGCTTGCACGCTGCAGTCGGAAAGTCGTGATCTCCTCGTTACTATTAGCAGGAGCTGAATCAGCGCATATCGCAGGAGGTGGGACAGGGACGGCAGCGCAGCATGCTTCTATTTTACGCAAGCCCGGACCGAGCAACCCAATGCCCGGCATATACAAAGACACTCACTTCGCCGTAACTTCACTAGCTCGGGCACGCTCCTTACATTAACTTCGAGTGAGTCCCTCAGCCGCATGTGGTACGTCATGCGTTGGAAGGGAGGCGGTCGGGGGGGAGGGGTGGGGGTGGAGTACTCGAATGGGGTTGATTCTTCTAAATTCATAGACCGCACCGATGTGTCGAAGCCCGCCTCCTCCGCGAAGTGCGACCCCGTGACGACCGCAGCAATGCGGAAAGAGTCTCCGTCCTCGTCGCCCCTCCAGCCGACATCGTTCGTCGCGTCGTCTGCGGCTTCGTACAGGCCGACTACTTGAGCCCCGGGAGCGCTTTCGGACGCGGCTCTTTTTTGGGGGGGGCGGGGGGGCGATACAGGGGAATTCGAGAATTCAAACCGACTTGTCCTTGAAGAGCAATGCGCAAACAGCATTTGGTGGATATAACAAATGCTCTCGAGACCGGAGCCGGCTTGGAACCAAACACTCGTCGTTCTTGTGTGTTTACACCACGACCCTTCGTTCGAGTCTGCTGCACTTGCAGGTGCTTCCTTTCGCCTTCCCACATTTTGATTTGGGACTTTACTTTTTCCAGAAAAGTCAGAGGGACTACGGAAAAGAGGTTTCACACTGCTAGGTAGGCGGTCCTTCGAAAACGAACGCGATGACCGCATCCGGCTAGACGCCGAAATAGTATATTGTTGGGTAATTAAATTACAAAGCGCCAGGAGCTCTCTGCCCTACAGGCATCTAACCTACTCCCGCTACATCAGTTATGTCAACATGAGCACGCTTCTCTCACAGGCTGCTCGTCGCGAGAGTATCGAGGGCCACCACCACAGGGTACAGGTTGAGCATCATCTGTGCGAGGACTTGGAAGTCGTACGACGAAGCGGTCGTGGTGAAAGCGGCCAGGCCAAGCATGACCGAGGAATAGCTCGACTGCATCTGGCGTTGTCGACAAAGCAGATTTTGGCGGGGGGGGGAAAGGAAATACGAGTTGGCGGGAGAAAGGGGTTTAAAGGGCACACGATTCTACGCAGGTTCTTGGCTGCCTGATACCACCAAAAATCATCGTGGACGCACGAAATGGTGCTGTCCTTCGAAAGTGTCGTGTTCCTTCCATTGTGTCGTCGGAACTGTGTGTAGTCGCGGAAATCCCAGCGAATGCCCCTGGGATTGTCGCTCCTATCGCAAAGGCCATAGTGCCATGCTGTACGTCCAGAAGTCGAAAGACTGCGGCCGTTGCTCATCGTTCTAAGATTAAACATGCTAAACCTGAGCCCCGAAAACGCTCAACACTAAGACATGCGAGGAAGCGCTTATCCACAAACCTCGGCGACCAAGCCCGGCAGCAGCTCAACCAGGCGTTCCAGATCAGTGGCCACCGTCGAGTGAGACTCGGCCAAGAAGAGGACGTCCAAGGGAAGGGCAGTCGACCGGTTTGTTGGGGTGACGCCGACAACCGAGAGCGTGACGTCTGACGACCACGTAGCGGTGGCATCAGCGATTACAACCTAGGCGCCACCGGCGACACGACGAGACACGAAACAAATAAGCAGATGAAACATCGGGAAGTCTTGATTGCGTAGAAAATGTATGAGGCCAGCCACATGCTGTACGTTTTGTGCTCGGCGTATTGACAAAGCGTTTCATAATGAGCACAGAGGGTGATAGAGGCCGAGGGTTGTGAGCAACACACGGTCAAAGGGTGAACACTACATCCCCTACATCCGGTCACCGGAGCGGCGTGGTCGATTCACTTAAGTTCTTACATTTTTCTTGTCTTCCCCCACCAACCTCCGAACGTGAGCCGCACACCAAGCGTCAAGAGCGACGGTTCGGAGTACACGTTTATGTCCTAACGCCTCACTCTGAGATTCGCCCCACCCCCATCCACACCCACCTCAGCGGTTGCCGGCGACAGCTCCCCCCCGCCGACGCCCAATCCTGTCGGGAGCGTCGTGCTGCGCACAGCGCTCGTGAAGTCGTCCTCCTCTATCGTCACGACCGCCTCGGCGCTGACGTCGTGGATGCCCCCGTTCACAACCGCGGAGCCCGTGCCGCTGACGGCCGTGACACCAATGGTAACGCCTTCGCATCCCTCGTCGGGATCGTTGTCGTGCACGACGGGGAGGGAGACCGCGCTCTCGGTCTGCCCGTCATCGAAAACTACCTGTTTTTTTCGTCGGTGTTGGCGCAGTTTGTTGATTGGGGAAGCAGAATTCCAAGAGGGCACCGGCAGAACGACTTGGGGGCCTGCTCGTCCTAAACGATTTGTTTCAAGATCATCGTGCCAAGATCTTGCCTGGTATTTGTTGGGTTAGGCAGTGGTACACTGTGATACCCCCCGAAGTTGTCCCTGGGGTTGTACGTTTGACTCTGGGCTCCACCGTGTGTTTCACGTCTCTAGCAAACGTTGCTACGGCCGGTTACGATGCGGCGCGGTTCGAGAATTAATTCAGAACACAATTTTGGGGGCGTGAGCTCAGTTTTCGGTGTCGAACGAAGGGGGCGACGCTCTGATGGTGTCGTCGGGCGTCTAAAAGGGTTTTGTCGCCAGACCCTTAATACCTCGTAGACGGAGTCGTAGCAACTCTCCTGCACAACCGAGCGCACACAAACATTCTCTTCTTTTGAACTCCGAAACCACCACACAAACGATATGATGCCATCCCGCTTGAACATGAGATTTCTTGTACTAACACAATATGTTATGTTTCCCACGCGTTTCCCACTCACGTCGTGCCGATATAATTACACATGCCGACCCCGAAAGCACATCGCAACGGCAGCAGCGACATACAACGAGCCCTCCCTGCCTGCTTCCTGCACTCTCACTAGAGGGCAACCCCGCCGCACCTGAATCGGCCACGTCCCGCCAAAATCGGAGACTTCGGTGGCGTTTCCTCCCGTCACGTCTAGGTCGACGGTGACCTCCCCGTCCGTCCCCACGAGCCGGACGAGCGTCAGGCTTACGGTGCCCCCCGATTCGGCGGTACCCACCACCGCGGAGTCGTAGTCGAACCCGAACACCCCGCCGCAGCCGTCGCAGGTGCCGCTGGAGCAATCCACGCTGTCGAACCCGGTGCTGAGTGAGGAGGTGATTTTCCATGTGATTTTGGAGGCATTCACAGTTGGGGGGAGGGGGGATGTCTTCAGAGGTAGTCGGACACACGGGGTGACGAGGGAATAGGCACGGAAGGGGGCAGGAACTGGAACTCACTGGGCGTTCTGAAGCCCCAAGATGATACACTATTTATTGTTCATTGCCTGGGGATACCATGTGGAATCATCAACGTTGGACAGCAGACAATCAAACTCGCGAATTTGTTGTCCGTTCTTGTTGTTTGTATTTCTGATTGTCGTTCGAAGGCCCTAGCGGCCAGTGAGAGAGTTTGCCAATGGGTACGAGACCTGTAGGGGGGGACGACGCCCACATCCTCTAAAAGAACTCCAAGAGGCTGATGAGGACACCGTTGAGGGTACAACGGTGCCTCTACGAGGTAATGTCACCAATGCCCAAAGTCAGGGCGCCTACCCTACACACGTCCCGCCATGCACTACGTCCTCACTTGCCGAAGCCTTGGTGACCGCATGGACGATAACTAAACTCACCTGCAATCGCACACGCCGAGGTAGCAGTCGCCGACACCGCTGCAGGTCTCGCCGTTCGGCCCGATGGGACACGAGGTGTTGGTGATGCAAGCCAAGCACGTCTCGTGTGCGCTGTAGGACAGCTGCTCCTCGGGGCACTCGGTACACAAGTCAGAGCCTGCCGCATCGACGATGTCCGCGCAGTCATTTGTGCTTATGGCGCCGGGTTGAGTCCTTTGTTGCGGGCGATTGGTCATATCATATCTGGTTCGATGATTTGTTGGAATTCCTACAGCGGACTGAACAAGATCTCCAGTTCACCTCGCGTTCTGGCCGCCTCCCCACCACTAACACACTGAATACAGAGATTAATACACTCGTTTGCACACGGGATACCGTTCAACTCGATGATTTCATCTGCTTCCTTATCTACCGTTCGGGCGGAGAGGTTAGCCCTGCACGCCACTAAACCTCCGGAACTCTTGTGTCCCGTTGCGGATGCTCAATGGACCAACTTTGAACCGCTGCCATTCTCCGTAGGAAGCACAGGCCACTGAAATCCATTTGCCGGTACCTTAAGACCTCAACGCGCACGACGAAAGTCGCCCTTAACAGCAGCAGCTTTTTATCGAAGGCTCACCGATGGTGTCGGCGAAGAAGCCCCCCACGCATTTGGTGCAGTTCATTTCTTGCGCCGCTTCGTATGTGGAGGTGTACTCCCCCCGTGGGCAATCCTGCAGGCATGGCCGGAAAGAAGAGACGCGCCCCGGGAAGGGAAAAGGGGCGTACTCATAAGGTTCCAGCTTCGACGATTGGACCTTTGACCACGCATGCGCCCCGTTGCGAGATGAAGAACTTTCCTACTCGTTGGATAGACTCCACCCACACACGGACAAAGTGACTGAGATCTCGCCGTGCTCCACATGAGAAAACTAATTTTCGTCTTTTCCACTTCCTTGTCAGACTTTCGTGCCCACCATTCGTCTCCTAGAATGGCTATCGTTTTCGCCAACCTTTCACGAGCAACAAACAGTTCAGCAATATTTGTTTTTCTTCGTGGGTGGCTTCGGGGAGGTCCATTCCTTTTGTGTATGACCCAGCTCTACACACCTCTAACGTTACACGCAACGAGCCCACAAGCATGATTCCACACCACTTGAAATCCTTCGTGCCAGTAAGAGGGGGCGCTTTGGACTGGCTGGGGGCGAGACAATGATTGCGAAGCGGGCTACAAGAGATAGTTTGAGTTATGGACATGACGCGATGCCTTCGAAAGTAGTTAAGAGTTTCGCAGAAATGAGAGTCAGCACCCCCTCCCTTGAAAGCCCAGCAGATACCTATCGTCTCCCACCTGGCATCCGCCTCCTTCGACAAGAGCAACGGTTCGGGTACCCGGGGGGCACGGCAGACAGTCGTCTGTGCTGTTAGAGCCGGCGGCGAGAGTTGTGGATCCCTGAGCGCAGTATTCGCACTCCCCGATGGACATTGAGCCTGTTGTTCGGGGCGGCCGGCGGGATTTGGAGGGGGGAAGGAACACAGAGACGTTTCTTTCGGATACAGGGCAAGAGGCAAAAGCGAATGAGACCGATTTGCCGTCTTGAACGATCGTGCCCCTTGCATACGTCGGCAAAATAACGTGTTTTGGCATAGTGTGAAGGGTCTCATCGAGCTTGCTCCAATAACACCAGTTTGTGGATCAACTTCGAGAAGCAAGGTGGGAACAAGCTTGCGGGGGAGTGATCGGTGCCAACCAAATCCGTCGGAGATTTGCCAGTGCCATGTTTTTCCGTTGCAAGGCGAACTAATAAAAACCAAGTCACACGCTGCCAGAAAGTCTGTCGATAAGTTCAAGTCAGTTAATACGATGTACAAATCCGTTTACCTGTGACGTCGACGTAGGTGCCGACGGGACATAAGTCGCACGTCTCCGAGCCGTCCAGGGTGCTATACTGCCCGGCGACGCAATCCTGGCAGCTGCTTGACCCCACTCCCGCGAACGTCCCGCTCAAGCAGGTCTGGGCATCGCGTTGCAATGATTTCGGCGACCATGAGAAATGGTAAGACGTTTTTTTTTCAATCAGTTGAGCACTGTCGTTTGTGTTGTGTGCGTGTATTTTCCAGCGGGGAGTGTGCTCGATTTACACGGGTAATAAGGTTTTGGCGAAGCAAAGACGTTTGCGATAGATCAACCGACCAGCTCAACGAGGCTGACGATGGTCGTCGGGCTGTGAGGCTTGTTTTGGAATTCCGACCATCTACCGCAGGTCTTCGAGGGGGTTCCGATCCAAAAAGTGCTTTACTCATCACCTCCCATAGAGTGCTTGCCCTATGGGTCAGTTGAGGCCCATAATTAACACACGCACACCACGTCCTCGCCTGCCACAAGCAGAACTTGAAACAACCGTGTGTTGCGGATGCATCGAGGCGGAGCAACACGAGGTTAACATTGGACAGCCACTGTTAGCGAGAGCGAGCGTTTGCATCACCCGAAATACCCCTCCTTCTCCCTCTCTGTTCATGTCCCCCCAGCACCCCTCCCCCCCCCCCCCCCCCCCCAAAAAAAAAAAAAAAACCCACCCCGCAGGAAGCACTGCCAGGGGGGAAGCCAACAAGAGGGGGGCACCGAGCGGAAGACCGAGGCCACCCAAAAGCAAAAAACCCCCCGGGGAAACAAGAAAGAACGGGAGAAAGCAACGGGCCCCGGGCACCAACCGCCCCCGCCGGGC